GGGGTTTCACCATGTTGGCCAAGCTGGTCTTGAACTCCTGACCTCAGGTGATCTGCCTGTCTTGGCCTTCCAAAGTGCTGGGAATATAGGCACGAGACACCATGCCCAGCTGGTAGTTTCTTATAAAGTTAAAAATACACTTACTATTTGACCCAACACTTCCACTCATAAATATTTACTTAATATTTATGAAAATACATGCCTACAAAAACACCTGTACATGAAAGATTTTAGCATTTTTTATTTATAAAAGCCCAAAACTTGAAAAACCCAAATGTCTAGTAACAGATGAATAAACAAATAATGGTATATAATATTTAGAAATAAAGAAGAAAAAAATTGCTGATACACACAAGGATAAATCTCAAAAATGATATGCTGAGAACAAGAAACCTGACCCAAAAAGGCACAAATTGTACTGCATGATTTCATTCATATGAAGTTCAAGTACTGACAACACTAATCTATAATTATAGATTAATTTACCTGGGACAGGGTGAAAGGGAGCTATGACAGGCTTCAGAACATGCAACTCCCAAAATATGACACCTTGGCATGTTGAATATTTTAAGCTGAAGGAATCTGAGAAACAGCAGGTGCAGAAAGGACTTCCCCTGAAGTAGACCATAGGATTATCTTGTGAGAGGTTGCTCTCTATTCCCAGAAGATAGCAGCATCTTAATCTCAAAGCACAGAGTGGCCGGCGCAGAATCATGGCTATAATTCCAGCATTTTAGGAGGCTGAGGCAGGAGGATCACTTGCACCCCAGAGTCTGAGGTCAGCCTGAGCAACACAGTGAGATCCTGTCTCTACAAAAAAATTTTACAAGTCAGCCATGCAGGCTAGGCATGGTGGCTCACACCTGTAATCCCAGCACTTTGGGAGGCTGAGATGGGTGGATCACAAAGTCAGGAGTTCAAGACAAGCCTGGCCAAGATGGTGAAACCTCTCCTCTACTAAAAATACAAAAACTGGCTGGGCGTGGTGGCGGACACCTGTAATTCCAGCTACTTGGGTGGCTGAGGCACAAGAATTGCTTGAACCCGGGAAGCAGAAGTTGCAGTGAACCAAGATTGTACCACTGCACTCTAGCCTGGGCAACAGAGCAAAACTCCATTTAAAAAAAAAAAAAAAAAAATCCATGCCACCTCAGCCATGCATGGTGGCACACATCCGTAGTCCCAGCTGCTCAGGAGGCTGAGGCAGGAAGATCACTTAAGCCCAAGAGGTTGAGGCTGCAGTGAGCTGTGATCGAGCCACCGCACTCCAGCCTGGGGAACGGAGTGAGACTCTTGTCTCAAAAATTAAAAAAAAAAAAAAAAAAAAAAATGAGGAACACCCAGAGGAATCTGAACAAATAGGCCTTGTTAAGTTTTTCCCAGTTTAGTACTCTTAGCTCATATCCCTTTCTGTCCTATGACATTCCACAACTCTTCCTTCTTCATCAAACCTAATTTAAAAACACTCAGGTTTAACTGCTTCTTCGGGTCTTCACTTCCTTATGAAGGCTCCGATGTCACATAAAACTTATATTAAACAACATTTTATGTTTTTCTCTTGTTAATCTACCTTTTATTACAGGGTCCGCAACCAAAAACTTAGAAGGGTAGTAGCTAAAGATGTTTCCCCTCCCCTACACTGGGAAGGGGTTCAAGGAAGCTTTTTTGGAGTGATGGAAACGTTCTGTGTCTTGAAGGTGGTACTGTTTACACAGATGTATATGCTTAGCAAAATTTATCAAACCAGGCCAGGAGCAGTGGCTCATGCCTGTGATCCCAGAACTTTAGGAGCCCAAGGCAGAAGGATCACTTGAAGCCAGGAGCTTAAGACCAGCTTGGGCAACAAAGTGAAACCTCGTCTCTACAAAAACAAAAAAAATTAGTCAGGTGTGGCAGCTTGTACCTGTAATCTCGGCTACATTGGAGACTGAGGTGAGAGGATCACTTGAGCCCAGTAGCTTAAGGTTGCAGTGAGCCATGATCATTCATGCCACTGTACTCCAGCCTGGGTGACAAAGGGAGACAGACCCCGTCTTAACAAAAAAGAAAAGATACTCCCCAACCTGTACAAATGATTTCAGATTCTTACTAGTCATCTACACCTCAAAAGAAACCAACCAGGCTGCTCGAGGCAGCTAATGCCTTGTAATCACACACTTGGGGAGGTCAAGGTAGGTGGATCGCCTGAGGTTGGGAATTCAAGACCAGCCTGGCCCACACAGAGAAACGCCATCTCTACTAAAAATACAAAAATTAGCTGGGCATGGCACTTGCCTATACCCAGCTACTTGGGAGGCTGAGGCAGGAGGATCGCTTAAGCCCAGGAGACAGAGGTTGCAACGGGCCAAGATCATGCCACTGGACTCCAGCCTGGGTACCAAGAGCAAAACTCCGTCTCC